ATTCTTTCCTTTGTACCATAATATTTTCTCCACCTTCATGACACTAGAGAAGAGTAGTCATGACAGAAATAGAATGATATGACAACCTAATACAAATTCAGAATTATTGGAACTTTGTTTTGATGATCTAATTCAATAAGTTCATGTTTATAGATAGGAATATAGCAATTAGAGGATAAAGGACTTCAAAAGACAGATATGGAGTTAAAGACAGAATTCTGAATTGCTATAAGCGTGCCTGATTTCTGGGCTAGAGTTTCTTCCCTATACCACAACCACCATTTCCTTTTCTTTATGTTTGTTCATAGTGATCTTCTCTTGATGCATTGAAAACCACATATTTCTTTCTTTTTTTTTAAACTTCTCCCACCTTTACTTATGAGGCCAGGTTGCCCTCTCTGCCCCATCAACAGTGACTTCAAGACTTATCTGCTTCAGTAGAAAATTAAATCTCTCCAGCCTATTCCCTAGATATTTCTGAGTCCTCCAATGTGGTATCATGTTTACAAGTGCTCATGAACTAGTCTATTGGTTGGTGTCACTGCCTAGTATTTTCCATTTCCCCCTCTTTTACAGTTCTTTTTTGTGGTAGCCACTGTCTATGAAGCTACTTGAGGGAGACTTGAGTATTGCTGATGGTGTAGGACCCATCAGCAGAATGCAAATGTCCATACTCAAAGTGTTGTCTTTAAATGTTTTCCTTCAGTTCATCAATGCTTGGATGCCTGAGTGGTTATATATTACACGCAGGGTCAATGGCTACACAGGATTTCTCTGCCAATGTGATATATAACCTGAGTACTCAAAGAATGCTGTTTGTTTTGCAAAGTCCCTCCATGGGTTTTGGCTTTTCAAGCTTTGCCTAGAATCTCACAATATCTCTAATGAAAATGCTTTGAGTTTGGGGCCTTATATCATTCTACAGAAGGTTATAGATGCCATGTTGCTCCCTCTATCTTTCTAAATATGCCTAGCTTGTGCCAAAACATTTTTCTCCTTTAGAAAGCAAAAACATCAATGCAGTAATGAAGAGATGTGAACATGCCACATTGGTTAGCAGCTTAACTAGCCAAAGATATGCAATGCCCTTCTGATCTTGCCTCCCCTCCACCTACCAGGTCATATCCTCTTTCCAATGTTCCTCTTTATTCTCATGCTAATCCATCAAAAGATCAAACCAAGATATCTCAAACTATCCTTTCCCACTTTTGCGTGTTTATCTGAGGATAGTATGAGTAGGGAAAACACTTGAGGCCAGAGGAGTTTACAAGTAGTACAATCTCAGCCTCTGATACCAGTCCCATTTGATGTCTGAATAATATAGAATCTCATAGTTGGGAGTCATCCTAAGAGTTCACCCAGCTCTAGATTGTGCCCAATATGAGAGTTTTACATCTTAGTCAAATGTTTTTGAGATTGCCTATTTCACATGTGCACATACACTAGTCTATTGGTTGGTATCACTGCCTAGAAATTGTGTAACATTTTTCCTCACATCAAGATAAAATTTTGCTTGTCACAGCTTTCCTTTAGTACTTCTAAGTCTATGTATGACCTTGAAGCAGGACAGAAAATGTATCTTTCCTCTGATTTGTGACATCTCTTCAGTCATTTGGAAATAACTGTCAAGTCACTTGTATCTTCTTGTTCCTTCAATAAATATCCCCAGTTTCTCCAATTATTCTTATGACACAGTTTGAGTTACTTAAAGCCTGATGCTTTCAGCTGAACGTGTTCCAATTTGTCTCTTAACATATGTCTAACTCTCTTAACATATGATGCTCAGTATTATTCAGCAATAAAAAGAAATGAAGTAATGAGACCTGCTACAACATGAATAAACCTTAAACATTTTATGTTGAGTGAAAAAAGTCAATTACAAAAGACGATATCTATATTATCCCTTTTATATAAAATGTCTAGAATATGCAAATACAGAGGCAGAATTTAAATTGGTAGTGTCTAGGACTAGCAGAATGGAAGGATGGGGAATGATGGGGATGGATGCAGGGATTCCTTTAGGGGTGATGAAAATGTTCTACAATTTGGTAGTGGCTCCACAACTGTGAATATACTAAAGCCATTGAACTGTATGCTTTCAATGGGTAAATTCTATGGTATGTGATTTATGTCTCAATAAAGAGGTTAAAGAAACATATGATGTTCAGAAGGAAAAACACTATTCTGAAGTAGAATGCTTTAACCTCTGCAATTTAAATTTCTCTCTTTCACTCTCTATAAAATAGATGAGTTAATAATGTCTGCTCCACCTCCTTGAAAAGGTTGTTGAATCATATTTCACAACCTCATAACTATGTAAGTTATTAGTCTGAGTGACTCTCTTATCACCCCATGTTTGGATTACTAATACCATGCACTTGTTGGTAACTCATTTATTTTACACATATGGTAAGAGGGTTTTTATTTTTTCTTAACCATCTATTACCCAACTCAGGAGAATGTGTGGGACACTTAGTATTCACTGTGTCAAGTCCAGCTCTTAATACCTTAAGATGTAAAGCTCTTTCAATATTGTCCCATATATATCTTATCATTCATTATAGCCAAACTACCTTTAAATTATTAAATAATCACTATTTTTGTGTACTTTGTCATTCCTCTGAAACAAAAATTCACTATTCTGGACTGAATGTGTATATCTCCCCCAGATTCATATGTTGAAGTCCTAAACCCCAATGTGATAGTAGTTGGAGGGAGAACCTTGGATAGCTGATTTAGTTTAGTGGTCCTGAAGGTGGAATATCTATGCCAAGATTAGTGACCCTATAAGAAAAGGAAGAGAAAGCAAACATGGCTTTTCTCTCCCTTTCCCTTCTCTCCCTCTCTCTTATACCTCCCCAGCTTCTTACTTTCCACCATGTGAAGATACAGAAAGAAGGCAGTCATCTACAAGCTAGGAAAAGGGGCTTCACAAGAGATCTCAATCAGTTGACACCTTAATCTTTGGCTTACTGGCCTCCAGAAACATGAGACATTATTCCCATCCAGTCTATGGTATTTTGTTTTGGCAGATGGTACTGACTAATATATTCTCCTTCAAACTCGCCTCTAATATCCTGTTATCACTTCCTTCAATATTTTTTTCAAACTTTTTTCTCTTGGAATTTCCTTCCATACTGATTATTTCATTACTTTGTATCCTCTTAGAAGTTTTGTTTCACATAAGATTAATTTGCAGTCCTTAATTGTCTGTGTACACATATAAGCTACTCAACTACTTGACAAGCTTTCCAAATTGATAGAGATAATGTGTATAATTTCATTACAACTTCATTTCTCCAAAACACAAGTTCTGTAGTGGTTTCTACCAGTACTCAGTCATAATTGATTCCTCTTTGGCTAAAACTGTTGATCCTACACTCCATCTGGCCTGAAGCTTATAGGAAAGATAGTAACAGATCAGCCCAAATGACTAATACGGAAATACTGTGTTGAAAGTTGATTTCATTAAATTTAATTTCAGAGTTCCTGATGGACATGTAATGTGCCAGGAATTATAATGAGGGTAGAAGGTGATTATGTACCATTGAAGATTGCTCCTTTTTGTTGTTATATTACAAAAGGCCATAGGAAAATTTAGGCAGGTTTTGAAATCATATCGCAGGTATGACTTCGGGGAAAACAGGAAAGGGCAGGTCCCATATAGAAGGAATTGACAATCCAACTCGCTCTCATGGTTTGGAGCACAAGCATGGCCAGTGGGGTGTAGAGCAGAACTAGCTTACAGGCCTGGTCTGAATGACCCAACCTAAAAGTATTCTGCCCTCTACCCGTGTCATCAATTCAATCTCAATTTCTTAGAAAAACTCAAGCCCGGTTTTCTCAAATGATTTTTAGAAAATAAGACTTCTGAATGGAAACCTAAAAGCAATTAAAAAAAATTAATACATCAAGGAAGACATTTTTCTTTGACACTAGTTTCATCTTTCCATCAGTCAAGGTTTTTTTCCTGTGGTGTTTGTAAGGAAAAACTTAGAACAACAAGCATTGAGAAATGAGACATTAAATCTATCCTCATCCATTTGGTGTTGGGTGGATGAATGCATCATCCCTGCCTGCCGGAGTTGGAAGGAGGAAACAATATCGCACAACTCCTCATTTTATGTGCAAGGAAGCCATAGCTTCCAAAAAAGAATGGCATGCCCATTGGCACAGGAGTTAGGGTCATGGTCATAAATACTGGTTCAAAACTTGGCATGGGAGCTTACATGTGCCCTAGAGATCTGCTACTGCTGTGGAGCCGACTTGTTTGTGTGGGTGTGTTTTATTGCTCTTGTCATTTTTAAATATACTCTTTGATTTTTGGTCTCACATTTTCTAAGGTTATGAAGAAATCCTTAAAATTATAATCTGTTTATAAAAAGGAAGACGACAAAGGAAGGAAAAAGGGAAAGAAAGAAAAATGGAAGGAAGTTGACCTTGGTGCCCACTACCACCACATCTCCTGACTTCTGTTTCCCACTGTCCCCACCTCTGGTCTCACCGCGGCTCCATTTGCAGCTTCCTATCTTTCCCACCGCCCTGAACGCCGGCCGACACCGTTTTACATTTTGAAAACCCTTGTTTGTTTGCTCAAACGCCCTGGACAGGCTTTTCTGGGCTTCCAACTTTGGCAGCTCTCCCATCCCCATCGGTAGAGGGGCAGGTACGCACACATTCCTTGGTATCAGTAAACCCGGAGACATTACCCCATTCCCGCCGCGGGCGCAGGGTTAGGGAGCGGGAGGGCCTAAGGCCACAGCCCCTCGGGCAATTCCTCGCTCTCTGGCACTTCCAGGGGGCGCGCGGGGTCGCGGGGCCCTCGCGGGGTGCGCGGCGCCGTGGTCGGCGGCCACGCGGGCGCGCGGCCCTTCGGAGGGGGCGCTGTCCGAGGGCACGTGCGCGGGAGCGCGCTCTGGGAGTGGTCGCGGGGTGGCGGGAGAGGCGGGCAGGGGCGGGGCCGCGGCGGCGCGCGGACGCGGAACTCGCCTGAGCTTTGCGAGGCTGCGGCTCGGCCACTGGCTGGAGGGCGGTAGCCTCTGAAGCCAGAGCCATCAAACCTGGGTCTCCCGGCGCTGAGCGGCGCCAAAAGCTGAGCCCGGCCGGGGAACTAGTCGCCCAGGGCTGTTTGCTCGTTTGCGGAAAGCGTTTCTCTGGACTCCGTTTAGGACGTAGTGGGGGTGGTGTGGCCGGCGTTGGGAGGTATTCGAAAGAGAGCTTTCACCTGTGTTCCGAGGCAGCAAGCGGGCGCGGAGGGAGCGGCGGCAGGCTCTCGCTCTAGGCACCATGGGCTGTACGCTGAGCGCCGAGGACAAGGCGGCGGTGGAGCGGAGTAAGATGATCGACCGGAACCTCCGCGAGGATGGCGAGAAGGCGGCGCGCGAGGTCAAGCTGCTGCTGCTCGGTGAGGCTGGCCGAAGGGCTAGGTGCCGGGGCGGGCGAATGAGCGAGTGGGCTGGGCGCGGCGGGGGCCGCTGTGGGCCCCTCGGCGTCGGGAAACCGGAGGGAACGCGTGACAGCAGGCGAGGGCGCGTCTGGCAGCGCCCGAGCGAGGTTGGTTCGGAGTGCGAGTGTGGCCCTTGCGGTGCGGAGCCGAGGCGGGTCCCCTCCTAGGTCCCCTTCCGCCCTCCTGCCAGGCGCTGAGATCTCCCCGCGGTAGGGCAGGCATTGCGCTGCGCTCGGTGCTTTAGTGACCCCACTGGAAGCCGAGCTGCATTTTGAGGCGGCAGATCCCGTGTAAACCCTTTTCTTTGAAGTTTAGCTGAGCCTTACAAATACGAAGGGGTATTCATGTCAAGAAAATAAAAGACACCCCCGCCCCTTTCCCGGAAAACCTTTCATCCAGAGGGTGGTTTCTCGTTTGTGGTTTTTCTCACACCAGGAGTGCCGCTTTTGGTGAAGTCAGTGCACCTTTCCTGGGGCCTCTGTAGGGTTGAAATGTGTCTTTACTGTCAAGTTCCTATGGCTTCTCAGTGAGTGTTAAAAAGCACGGATTATGTTTACCCTGCGTAAGGAAATAAGCTATGCTGGACATTTGATTTTTATCACTGTGGGGGTAGGGAAACCACCAAAGTTGGGTTGCGTTTGCTCCAGTAGTAGGTAAGGAGGATACTTCAGTGGTGGAACCGCTGTGAAAGGTGCAGAGGGGTCACCGGAACAACAGGATTTTCTCTACTGCCATGGTTTCTGATGAATGGGGTTTGCCAGGTGCACTCCAGGCTTTGATTTGTTCTTAGCCCTGTTCTCTTGCTGAAGTGCGACGTGGAGATCTTTTTCCAATTGTTTGAACGGGAAGAGAATTAGAGTAACCCAGGGACACTTGACTGAGGGAAACATTGTGATAATATTCACAGTTTAAGATCTTTAAATCTCTGAGTTAGGGGTTCCTTTTGTTTGATTTCTTCCCACACTCTAAGTATTAGATAGATGAAAGATTTCTTAAAATCTTCATTTGCACTTTCAGCTTGTATTTTTTTATATAAGTTATAATAAAAGAGAAATATTGCTTAAATTCATTTTCAGTAAGCTCCAGTTTTATTGGTTTAATGACTGCAGGAAAAAATGGTGGGCTTTTTTTTTTTTTTTCTTTCTCCATTACTAGTAGGCTTAGAAGCAAACTTGGCATGACTAAAAGTAATAATGATCTGAGTCATTTTGCAAGCAAACTGTGAAATAACTTTGCATTTTAAAGACCTGGTGGCTTTTTCACCCTCCGCAGCCTCCAGCATAAATCTTTCTTTGTAAATACTGTTAACCTAAGTTTTTAATTAATAAGATATATTGTATTTTGATGACGCCAGTGAATTTTCAGAGTATTGGCTATAGAAGACACACAGCTTGATAATGGAACCATGTAAATGCTCGTCTTGTAAAGTGAATCGTTCTAGACAGAAATGAAATGAAAGGATTTAAAAGTTCTTTTTCTGGTTTTCTGCTCTGATACATTATCTCTATTTATTTCTGTGTGACTTTTAGTTGGAACCAACCATCCACCATGTTTAAACCAATTGAAAAATGGGTCTTTGGGTGGTGGTGGTTTAGTCCTTTAATTAACTGTTAGACATGGGCTAGGATAAAGGTCCAAGAAGTAGGTTGTTGCTTGAATAGTATTCAGGAGAGATCAGTGTTTCTTAACCTAGTACTGTTGGCATTTTGAACTTGATAATTCTTTGCAGTCAGGTTATCTTGTGCACTGTAAGGATGTTTACAGCATCTTTAGCCACCATCCATTAGATGCCAACAGCTGCTCCCCATACCAAACTGTGACCCTTAAAAATGTTGTCATATGTCTCCTGGGGAAAAATGTAACCTTCATTGAGAACTACTGTTCTAGATTAACATATATAGTTTAATACAGTGTAGACCCTAAAGCTGAATTGCTACAGTCATCTATGGTGATTTATGAGGAAGTTGAAGGAGAGTCCTGATTTTCAGAAGAAATTATGGAATTTTTATTTCTTCTTACCAGTGACATTAGAAAAATTCCAAAAAGATTTTTTTTTTTTTTTAAATTAGGCAACTGATTTCCTTCAGTTGTCTAATCTAGCTTGGGCTTTTGCATTTCCCTGCATCTCTTCTTTCTACAGGAATCCAGTTACTTCCCTAACTGTTGTTGGTCTAACACTCTCATCTGTCTTACCCCACTCCACTCTACCCTTTGCCCAGACTTCCAACACCCTATAAACAGAATGCTGGCTTACTTATTTCATAAATCTTAATTCTTGAAAGGCTTAAAAACATTTTTCCCCCCTAATTTGACTTTAGCAGTGAATTGCAACCTTTGGTTCATTTTTGGATGTTTAAAGGCTATGTGTGTAAGCAGCTCAATGGAATCATTCCATTTAAAACATAGCAATTGAATCAACTAGAAATGTAAAATGGATTCTGGATAATCTATAACAATGTCACTTACATTTACATCAGTTGTTTTTCCTCATCAATTATTTTGTTTTTTCTCATTAAATGATTTTTCAAATTTTATTTAAAGTACAATATCTTTAGAGTACCAACATGGTATATTAATAGTTCATTATGTTGTGTTTTTTGCTAGAGAATATATAGTCTTTAGATATTTGGACTGAAAGATTAAAGAATAAGATTTGCACATTATTAGTAAAGATTTGGTGCTGGGATGTCTAATATATATAATTTATATCAGAGGCATTTCACTATCCTAATTTAGCACAGTAAATTAGGGCTTGAAAAAGAGAGGACCTCATCTAATCATTGACCTAAACGAAATTAGGTCATGGTTTGGGTGATTTAAGGCTTTCAGGTCTAATTTTCAGGTTTCATAGTGTTATAATATAATCCTAAATAGAGAAAAATTAATGAAAGAAATAAAAAGAAAAGTTTCTTTCCATTATATATGGGTACTTGTTAACAAAGGAAAATATTTGTATTGTTGTATCTTTGAGGATGTAACTTACCATCTTTTTAAGGTCAGTGTCATTAGTCTTCAAATGCTTTTCAGTAAGACTATGGTGTACTACTGATTTTATAAAATTACAGTTTTCATGAATTAGCTTATTCCTAAATCACAATATCACTTCAAATGTTTGTACTTCATTATACCTTTGTCCTTTTCTTGACTCCATATATCTCCACAACCAGACCAGCAAACAAAAATCCATACCTTCATCTTCTTCTCTAGCTTAGTTTAATATCGCAGGGTTGGGAAAAAATAAATGAGAAGTTGCAGCTCTTCTGTTTCCTGCATATTTTTCCATTGCTACTATAAACCAGCTATTTGGGATGCTACATCATTAATCTTTTCACTCTCTTTGAACTTATCCTGTGTGACTTCCCTAGTTGAGAAATTATGGCATTGCAGGACTTATTTCATTGCTTTAGCTTTTTTCCTTCCAATTGGCTGAGGATCTTAAGTAGTGCAAACCTATTTCCTTGAACCAATGGATCTGGTATTTAAACGTGGGTTGTGTGCTTCTCTCTGCCTGGTTTATCTTGTATTATTAGATACTTTTGATAGAAGCCACAGGTGGTATAAAATTATGTGCTGAGATTCGAGATTTTTCTGCATCTTCTGTTTTTCATTCTCAAATTCATAGTTCAGGTTCTCTCCTTCTGACAGCCTGATTCCAGTAGGCTCTCCTGCTTCTAGTCTTTCCTTTAAGCCTGTTCTTCTGGTATCATAATACTAGCTTGATCAAAAACTTTCTTTTAGACCTGGCTTTCTTGAGTTTTACACTGTTTTCCTCAGGGTGCTCTCCTCCAAGCAGGAGCAGTTAACATATGTTAAAGCTATTTTGGTCTTGGTTCCTAGCGGTTGAGACTTAGGCCCTGCTTGTTTCGCTATTACTGTGAGCACTTTAGCAGCAGAATCTTCATCTTTGTGTTCTTAGCAACGCTTCTACTTTGTCATGTGTAAAATGTGCTCTAAATGATGTAAAATTATCTTTCTGCTTTCTGGAATATAAACCACATACTCTGCCATTTTCAGTATTTATCGGAATAAATAACTATCCAAACAGTGTTTAAAAAAAAACAAAAGAAAAGAAAAGTAAAGAAAGAAAGAAAAAGGGAATAGAAGAACATGTATGATGACCAAAGTTAATGAATGGTATTTAAAAGCAAATAGAAACAAAATTAAAATAAAAGCAAGCAATTTGGTTTAGTATTTTATTTTCCATATGTAATGTTTTTCATAGTCATTATATTCTTTGACAAAAAATTAGACAAAATCTCTATTGATGGGGAATCTGCTATGTCTGTTGAAGCTGTGATGTTTTTCCTTAATTTTTTTTTTTTTTTTGGTGAAGGTATATCTCATTTTCTAGAATTTATTTTGGCCTCTTTTATAAAGAATTTATTAAGGATAGCAAACATAATGCCTACCTTTTAGGTTTTAGTGGAAAATAGTAGGAAATATAATTGCTTACAGGATTTAGTAGATGTTATTTAAACATTAAAAAGATTGCTATAGTTTTTTAAACCAAAATGAACTATCCAGCCACATTCTTATTTTGTTACACACTTCTCATTGCCCTGGAAAACTTAAGATAGAGCAGATTCATGCAAGGGGACTTGAGTGTATTGGCCGCATTTCTAGGTCACGTATTTCTTGATCACATGTCCTGGCCTGCATTTTACTCAGTGTGTGACTACCCAGAGTATGACATTGGTGAAGTTCAGATCCCAGATGGCATTTGAGCCTGTGAACTAAAGTTAACAGTACCTAATCTTAGGCTGTTTTCTGGTATAATTTATTAAACTATAATTAAAAACCCTAAGATAAATAACAAACTAATTTTAAAATGAATATTTATTACTATATGCTTAGCAACTTCTGAAAAAAATATTATTACATAGTTAGAGTTTAGAAATCCACAGAGGGTATGCACAGGGCTAAAAATCAGGGCTTTTCTTCTGCACTTTCTAGAAGAG